GGTGATAACCTAAATTTCAAGGGATCCCACCACGAAAAATGGAAAAAACAACTAAAAAATATTTTGTTTCAGCCATCACCCTATAGGGGATAACAAATAAAAAAAAAATATTTTGTCTCAGGATTTTGATGCAGAATGGTGGGGAATCGATCCAGAAATCGTTTAAGGTACTCCGCTTGAGAATCGGATGAGAATTGGGGAAGATATAGCCATTACTGTGGACCCTATAGGGGAAAACCCCATTCTCAAGGGATCCCACCACGAAAAATGGACAAACAATCTAAAAAAAAATGTTATCTCAGGATTTTGATGCAGAATGGCGAAGAATCGATCCAGAAATCGTTTAAGGTACTCCGCTTGAAAATCGGATGAGAATTGGGGAAGGTATAGCCATTACTGTGGACCCTATAGGGGAAAACCCCATTCTCAAGGGATCCCACCACGAAAAATGGACAAAAAATCTAAAAAATATTTTGTCTAAGTATTTTGATGCAGAATGGTGGGGAATCGATCCAGAAATCGTTTAAGGTACTCCGCTTGAGAATCGGATGAGAATTGGGGAAGATATAGCCATTACTGTGGACCCTATAGGGGAAAACCCCATTCTCAAGGGATCCCACCACGAAAAATGGACAAACAATCTAAAAAAAAATGTTATCTCAGGATTTTGATGCAGAATGGCGAAGAATCGATCCAGAAATCGTTTAAGGTACTCCGCTTGAGAATCGGATGAGAATTGGGGAAGGTATAGCCATTACTGTGGACCCTATAGGGGAAAACCCCATTCTCAAGGGATCCCACCACGAAAAATGGACAAAAAATCTAAAAAATATTTTGTCTAGGTATTTTGATGCAGAATGGTGGGGAATCGATCCAGAAATCGTTTAAGGTACTCCGCTTGAGAATCGGATCAAAATTGGGAAAGATATAGCCATCACTGTGGACCCTATAGGGAAAAACCCCATTTTCAAGGGATCCCATCACGAAAAATGGACAAAAAATCTAAAAAATATTTTATCTCAGGATTTTGGATCAGGATACTCCGCTTGAGAATCGGATGAGAATTGGGGAAGATATAGTCATCACGGTGGACCCTATAGGGGGAAAACCCCATTTTCAAGAGATCCCATCACGAAAAATGGACAAAAAATCTAAAAAATATTTTGCCTCAGGATTTTGATGCAGAATGGCGAAGAATCGATCCAGAAATCGTTTAAGGTACTCCGCTTGAGAATCGGATGAGAATTGGGGAAGATATAGCCACTACTGTGGACCCTATAGGGGAAAACCTCATTCTCAAGGGATCCCATCACGAAAAATGGACAAAAAATCTAAAAAATATTTTGTCTCAGGATTTTGATGCAGAATGGTGTGGAATCGATCCAGAAATCGTTTAAGGTACTCCGCTTGAGAATCGGATGAGAATTGGGGAAGATATAGCCACTACTGTGGACCCTATAGGGGAAAACCTCATTCTCAAGGGATCCCATCACGAAAAATGGACAAAAAATCTAAAAAATATTTTGTCTCAGGATTTTGATGCAGAATGGTGGGGAATCGATCCAGAAATCGTTTAAGGTACTCCGCTTGAGAATCGGATGAGAATTGGGGAAGATATAGCCATTACTGTGGACCCTATAGGGGAAAACCCCATTCTCAAGGGATCCCACCACGAAAAATGGACAAACAATCTAAAAAAAAATGTTATCGTAGGATTTTGATGCAGAATGGCGAAGAATCGATCCAGAAATCGTTTAAGGTACTCCGCTTGAGAATCGGATGAGAATTGGGGAAGGTATAGCCATTACTGTGGACCCTATAGGGGAAAACCCCATTCTCAAGGGATCCCACCACGAAAAATGGACAAAAAATCTAAAAAATATTTTGTCTAAGTATTTTGATGCAGAATGGTGGGGAATCGATCCAGAAATCGTTTAAGGTACTCCGCTTGAGAATCGGATCAAAATTGGGAAAGATATAGCCATCACTGTGGACCCTATAGGGAAAAACCCCATTTTCAAGGGATCCCATCACGAAAAATGGACAAAAAATCTAAAAAATATTTTATCTCAGGATTTTGGATCAGGATACTCCGCTTGAGAATCGGATGAGAATTGGGGAAGATATAGTCATCACGGTGGACCCTATAGGGGGAAAACCCCATTTTCAAGAGATCCCATCACGAAAAATGGACAAAAAATCTAAAAAATATTTTGTCACTATTAAAGATAGGAAGCTTGCGACTTTTTTTAAGTTTTGTATTTTAATAAATTGGCTTTATAATAAAATTCTAATAAGGCCCACTTATTAGCCATAAATATCGAACCTTAACCGGAAGGGTAAATCACTTTGTCTCCCTCCGAAGTTAGTTTTCCTTTCTTGTTAGTAATTTATAATATTATTGAATGAACGAATTTAGTTAGGGAATGTTTGAAATTTAAATTTAAACGTGAAAAGTAGTTCTACTCCTGGAATGGCATTTAAGCTTAAACACCAGCGTCTTATAGGTACACGGCTCCCAAAAGAACCTTACCTTTTATTTATTGCAGACAGGAAGACTGCTTTGAAAGGCCGGAAGTTAACTTTGCTTAACATGGCCAACTATCGCAGCATATCGCCTTGCTGGTTAATTTGATTGACATTTATCCGTTTTATTCTGTGAGCATGGAAGCAGTGTTTTTTTTTAAACAGGCGGCTATATCAATGGCCCAATGGTGGCGTGTGTCTTTAGTCAGGTTGGCGGTGTCTTCTTTTTTTTAGCATTTTCCTTTTCCCGGCTCTTGGTCTACACTTGACACAGTGTTTGCACTTTGCGCTGATTTAATCTTTTCGTTGCCTTTGGCTGAGTGTCTACCCCACCAAGGGGCGTGGCTAGGAATGTCTGGGCCCGATTGTGGGATCAGGATAACTGGATACCTACTCCGTCCCCTGATCCCCTGGCGCTAAATTGGGCGCGTGATAAAGAGCAGGAAAAGAAGGAGCTCGGCACACAAAAAAAAAACGCCTGAAAGGAATCCTACTGTTTGCCTTTGGTCTCTAGGTGTCGTTCGAATCGAAGAGTGCAGGCGGAAAAAAGGGAAAAATTATTGAACATCTGATGCAGTTATGATAATGTCAAAGCATTTCCACTCAAGCGACAGTTTGGCTAGATTTCGATTATGACAGGCAAATGGAAGAGTTATTGCAAATTAATGCAAGCCCTTCGAGTGGCCTGACAACGATTTGGGTCAATAATTGTTCAAGTTGTCGCCTTTAATGGGCAAACTTTCCATTCAGGAGCATAATATATTAAATGGCTTTTCGGTGGCTATAAATTCTATCCATTCTATTCAAAACTATTATCGGGTAAATCATAAAAACCCAATGCAATTGTTGAATATAATTCCTTTCTCTGTCTCTAAGCGACACGCCCCTAATCCAAAGCTTATAGACACACGTGCATTACTATATAAATATGTGTATAAAATCGTATATATATATACATAAATATAAAACGCTGTACTTTATTTGTGGGCTGACCAAGTTGCGTGGTCCAAACAATATTTATAATAATTTACAGAATTTATGTAAAAACTTTTTTATGTGTTTGTGCCATAGAGGCGCAGTTAATTTGGCCAAGTTTGCGGCTTGTTTGGCGGCCAATCGTGTAATTTTTGTACAATTTATACCAAATAGCTATGAAGGCGATTACTTCACCAACTTTACTATTAAGGTGTATTATAGAAATATTTACACGTTTACTATTATTTTAAATTATTTTCACTGTTCACAATTAAAATTGATCTATGACTGCTATAGTCATAATCGAAAAAGAATGTGGAATTCTATATCTTAAAATTTGAGAGTCAGAACCCACAAACTCACCTGTTAAATTGCTGATATACCTGCCCTGTATAAACCCTTGAATAAGTGGCAGTTTGGCCAAATTGCTATTTTAGTTTACTCTCCCCAATTTTAGCGGATGGGCGTATGGGCTGGTAGATGTGTGGATATGTGGGGCGTGGCTGTGGCCATAACGGACCTCAGCCATAATTTAAACCGGCAACGTGTTATCAGACTTAATATGTAATACATTCTGGTGGTCAGTTGGGATCGGTTGGGGAATCATGGGAGAGGAGGAATGAAGAGTGGTTCCAAACAAAGTTGGCCAAATAATGGTTCAACTCCCTTCTCGTTCTCGGCCTATTGTTTCGGATTAAACTCTCTGCTTGTGTGGCTGTATGCGTGCACGCCCGATTTGGCCCTTTTGTTTTGGTTTATTGTTTTTGAAATGCACATAAAATGCGTTCTGCTCTTGTCTTTTGTGTCTCACTGCAAGCATTTGAGGCTCATATTTTATTGATAGCTTGTGGAAAACAGTGGACTGGACTGGATAATTCCCGAAAAATCGCATTTTGTGGCCCAGCATGAATGGAAAATAAGCTTAGCCAGGCCGAAACAATTTAGACCGCTTAAATCCGTTCTGTGGAAAGTAGCCACAATCATAAAAATATATGATAAACTAATTTCAATCATTTTTGCAAGCCATTATGATTAGTCGGGCTTTTTTTTGGAAAAGGACTTAACGGTATTAAAAACATGGAATCAATTGCTATTTTTAAATCCTATTTTAAAACAATATATACAATCCAATAAAAACACTTTTAAATAAGGTATTTTGATCCATATATTGAGATTAAATGAGAAGTTTAAATTTTTTAAGAAATCTCTAAGGTAAATTGAATGTTATTTTATTTTGTATTCATTATAACGTATGTTCTTTGTAGGACAATTTTATAGAGAATTATAGAGAGAAGAAGAAAGTATAGAATGTTCGCAATACCTTCTACTAGTACAGAAGGTTATATTTTAGCATATGATTATGCATTTTCCTGAAAAGTTTAAATTATTATCGTTTAAAATTAAAAAAAAAAAAAAATGCTGTTATTTAACAGCACCGCTTGGCGCTTAACATTGCCACATTTAACAGAACAGCTGTTCAGTGGGTATTCCCCGAAACTGGTCACATCGAATCTGACAAACAGAAGTGATTCATACTAATAAAACAACGTAGATTGATTAAAATCTTCAATTTCCAGTTGCAATAAACTGTCAGAAAACTTTTTTACTTCATTCGCAAACAGAAATCCATCAAGCTGGGTAACGACATGTCTACGAGTTCAATGGAAAGTAAGTGTATACGAGCGATGACGAATTCATTCTCACCCACCCACTATTGTACATATTTTTTTTTTTTTTGGATAGAACATCTCTTCAATCTAAAATTTGCTGTAAAGGAACTGGAACGCAACTCCAAAAAATGTGAAAAGGAGGAGACCGTGGAAAAGAACAAAGCTAAGAAGGCCATCCAAAAGGGAAATATGGATGTTGCCCGCATCCACGCAGAAAATGCCATTCGTCAAAAAAGTCAGGCCGTTAATTATCTGCGGATGAGTGCTCGAGTCGATGCGGTGGCCAGCAGGGTGCAGTCCGCTCTGACAACCCGCAAGGTTACTGGATCCATGGCCGGAGTAGTGAAGGCCATGGACGCAGCGATGAAAGGAATGAATCTGGAAAAGATATCCTCGCTAATGGAAAAATTCGAATCCCAGTTCGAGGATCTAGACGTTCAAAGCTCAGTAATGGAGGGCACTATGTCGGACACGGTTACCACATCGGTGCCCCAGGGCGACGTCGACCATCTTCTTCAGCAAGTTGCCGATGAGGCGGGCCTGGAGCTCAACATGGAATTACCCAGCGGCGTGCAGAGCCAGACGATTGGTGCCTCCACGGCAGTCTCCCAAGAGCAGGATGAGCTCACTCAGCGCCTAGCGCGTCTCCGACAGGCCGAATAAAAGTTGAATTTCCTTGTTTTATCCATTAAGTACCTCCAAAATATAAATAAGAATAGTATCTGTGCTTTAAAATACTCGGAAGCTTTTTAGTCCACATTTTCATTGGTCACCGGTTATTAATTTCTAGGTCGCCTTTTTTTGGGATCTTTTGGCAATGAATGAAATTATTGTAACTCATCGGTTTCCTGCTTTCGCTTCTTTTATGCTAAAAATATGTTTTTATCCGTATTATTTCAAAAACAGATTTAAATAAAGTCTCTGCTTTGACTTTCAAAGATAGTTTTCTTAAGGAAAAACTTGATTTTTAAAGAAGTTATAAAATTATAATGATTTTATGCCTAAATTTTATTATGTATCTTAAAGTTGGTTTTGATATATACTACGTTAAGGTTGTTTGTGGCTGTATTGGCTGTACGATGGAGCTCGGGCTAGTGGGTTGCTTAACACGTTGTTTTCGTGGCTTTTTAGCCGCTGGAATAGTAGAACCAGGAGCCGTGGCCTCCCCGTCGATGGGTTGTTTGTTTTTCGGTTTTGGTCCACGACGCTTCTGCTCAGTTTTTCCTTTCGGATGCGGTGCCTCCATGGGTACTGATCTCCAGTTGTCGCCATGCTTATCTAGCCGTTTCTTTAGCAGCTTAACGTCGTAATCGCGACGCCTGATAATCTTCTTAATGCCGTTTACCCTGGAAATATTATATGTACATAAATAAATATGTAAGCCCACAACTGGTCTTTAGTAATTTGATTTTGCTACCTCATCACACATCGTTCATTTTCCGCTTGTATCCTTTGGCATTTGTGGTACAGCTTTTCCACCATTTCCTTGTAAAGGATGCTCTTTGCGTTAATCAACATTTTATTTATATATTTTTATTATTATTGTTCATTGCTTACAAGTTCGAGAAAATATCGTATAACTAGCTACTAAAAGAGATGCCAGATCTTTTTAATTTTAGCATTATTCGCATTCTTGAATGTAATTATGATAGGGTGATCACTTAAAGCGTATCTATAATGGTTGATATTAAAATTAACATATACTTTAATTATAAAATGTATGTTTCCAGAATATAAAAGATATTTATTTAATATTTTTCTTTAAGGCTACCAGCTGTTTTTTGTTGTCAGAGTGTTGCCATATGAAGTCAGAAACCGGCAGAACCTATCGGTATTGGTGGCAACATTGGAAGGTTTGATAGAAAAAACTTGTCTTATTGCTGTTTTTTGCAACTCGATAAAGCATTAAAGGCATGCCAAAAGAAGCTTCCAATTTAAACGTCTCGGATGTATATTAAATTTTAAAGATAAGCCTTTTTGCATATTATGTCAAATACTGCTAACTCAATCAACATGCCAACAACACCAAGTGCCCAAGGATCCGGAAATCAAAATACCGCAACCAGCCAACAAATCGTTAACAAGTTCCGGGAGATTATTAAGGATCCCAAGAGCCTGGATGAGGCTGTTAACTATATGTACCAGACACTAGTAGATGACGCAGTAGCCGGTATTTTTATTGAGACGCATCACCTGCGCAAAACGGGAAACCTTTCGGCCCTAGACGGCGTGGCTGAAGACTCGACCTACCGCATCTGCGAGATGCCGAACCTGGATATATTCGGAATCTCAACTGCCAAAAAGCCTATGGACTGCACGTGCCCCAACTGTGATCGCCTCGTAGCCGCTGCGCGCTTCGCTCCGCATTTGGAGAAGTGCATGGGGATGGGAAGAATATCATCGCGAATCGCCTCCCGCCGCCTTGCTACCAAGGAGGGATCTAGCACATCCCATCTCCATTCGGGAGGCAATACTGGAGGCACAGATGATGAAGACGACGTGGATTGGTCATCAGACAAACGCAAGAAGAAATCGTCTCAGAGCTCCCGCAACAATGGCTCCAAAAAGAACAACGGGAAAACGTTTTAATTAAGATTTAATTGTAATTTTGATATTGTCATAGTAAATGATTTTCAAATCTATTATATTCTCTACAAGAAATTCTTTTTATTTAAAAGCGAACAACTTTTTGGCACGGTGAAGAGGACTTTACTTGATAAATCTTTGCATTTTTAATATCCCCTCTCGTCAAGTGCATAGACTCGAATATAGTCAATAACTAGTGAGGGCTGCTTCCAATCATTGAGGAATTTCAATGAACTTTTCAACATTGATGGTGTATGTTTGTAAGCTCCCAAGTGCTGCTCGATTAGAATATCAGGGTTAAAGTTTTCAAAACCGCCGACGGTTAAACCAAGAGTCAGATAACACTAAAAAAAAAAAGAAAAAATGTTTTATAAAATTTAAATAATTTTAAAAATTATTTCTGTTCAAGTTACTTGTGTTTGAAATTTTTTTAAAATTTGTTGATCCGTTATTTTACCAATCGACTCGCCGTCAACCTTGAAAATGATCTTATCATGTCTCCAAATGATAGTATAATTGTGAAAATCTTTGGAAAATTCTGTTTCACTTTTCTTGGAAACATATTTATCGAAGCTGCACTTCATGGGTTTATCCGGACATAAATCCCAATGTAAAACACTGCCAAAAAGAGTTTTCCCGCTAAAATCTCTCAAATCTCCTTTCGTTTGCAGCATCTTATTTCCTCTCGAAAATAAACGAATTTGCGGAGATAACTTATCACAAGGTGTGTAGTCGGTCGGTTTCAAAACAATGTCTGAAATATATTAATCAGATTTTATTTTTTTCTGAACCAGTTTATTGTATACTTACTTGGGACTATAAAATCTCCTCTCGGCAATAATCCCCGGAATTCAATTCGTCCATATTTGAAGGAGAACTTTTTTTTGGTGTGAATGCTGGCAGACCCATTCATATCGTGGTCAAATGGTTTGGGCCTACACATTTTATTATGTTGATTTTCTTTGTCTTTACAATCTGGATATGTCAATCTGCACTCTGATGTGACATCTTTGGTGGTGGTGCAATCTCTTAAAATATCACTATTATTCTTCGCAACCGTATTTCTAGTTACAGTTATATTTAACATGTTATTATCAATTTTTGAGTTTTTAGATTCTTTCGTAAAGACAACTAACTCGTAACGACTATCATACAGGTTCCGCACCTCATGCGTCCACAATGAATTATTTATCTCCTGTCCGTCAAAGTTTTCTTCCAGTATGAGTTGACCAGGATTGAAAGTATGGTTCGAAGAATCTTTACTTGGTTTCGACGGTTCGATTATCAAAGATTGTTGTTGACATTTAGACATTAGAGACTCTAGGGATTTATTTGACAACTGACCCTCGGATTTTTTGCCATCACCGTTGTGCACTGTTTCCAGGCTTGTGAATTTTTTATCTGTACCTTCGATTATTGTCCGTATTCGAATTAAGGAATCGGATGTTATTTCATTTTCAAACTCCATTTCATATTCACTATCCCAGGGATGCGTTGCGTAGGTAACATTAAAGGAAACACACTTATTTTTTCGTTGAATTTCCGCTTGAAACATAATGGAAATTACATTCTCTAGCTTTCCGGGAGGAATCGAGAGGAAGACTTTTCTGCCATTAACTTTCACCTCTGGATCCGTTAAAGTAAACGCACTCAAAGAACAAACGAGGCTGACCAGCCAAATTAAGACACAACCTCTTCCCATTTTGTATTAGTGTAGACTGATCACTCTAGATCCAGCTATCAGGCCACCAATGTTATCAAGGTTGATAACCTATAAGTTATAGGCTATAACCCGCGTTATTTTTATACGTGTATTTCCATTATTTTTTGGAATTTTGGTCATTGTTTTTATGTTTTTATACCCTTGCAGAGGGTATTATAATTTTGGTCAAAAGTGTGCAACGCAGTGAAGGAGACATCTCCGACCCTATAAAGTATATATATTCTTGATCAGGATCACCTCCTGAGTTGATATGAGCATGTCCGTCTGTCTGTCCGTCTGTCTGCTTCTACGCGAACTAGTCTCTCACACCCTTCTTTCCTTTGCACGCAGTATATAAGTCGGAACGGCCCGGATCAGCCGACTATATCCTATAGCTGCCATATAACTGATTGATCGGAAATGGCCCAACGTTCGTGTTTTTTAAATTAGAAAGCTGGAACTTAGTACAGATTATATTTTTGGTCAGATTATCCGACCTACCAAATTTCATAAGGATCGGCCGACTATATCTAATAGCTGCCATATAACTGAACGATCGGAAATGACCCAACTTTCGTGTTTTTGAAGATAGAAAGCTGGAACTTAGTGGAGAATAAATATTTGATCAGTTTATTCGACCTACCAAATTTCATTAGGATCGGCCGACTATATCCTATAGATGCCATATAACTGAACGATCGGAAATGACCCAACTTTCGTGTTTTTGAAGATAGAAAGCTGGAACTTAGTAGAGAATAAATATTTGGTCATTTTATTCGACCTACCAAATTTCATAAGGATCGGCCGACTATATCTTATAGCTGCCATATAACTGAACGATCGGAAATGACCCAACTTTCGTGTTTTTGAAGATAGAAAGCTGGAACTTAGTAGAGAATAAGTATTTGATCAGTTTATCCGACCTACCAAATTTCATTAGGATCGGCCGACTATATCCTATAGATGCCATATAACTGAACGATGGGAAATGGTATTTGGTAGAAATATCAACTTTCGTATTTTTGAAGATAGAAGCCTTGGGCTCTTGTTTATAAAATTTTTATTGTAATTAATTTGTTTTATTATGATGTAATCATAAGGATCGGCCAACTATATCTGATGTTTGCGATATATATCCGGTTTTAACTGCAAGGGTATATCAACTTCGGCTCCGCCCGAAGTTAGCTTTGCTTTCTTGTTTTTTTTACTTTTAAGGTAATTAGAAGGGAATACGATTAATTTTATTTAAGTTCCATTTTTTATTTTCAGCATTTTCTTCAAAGTATCGATAGAAATTATAATTTGGTTTGGTATAGAGCATTTTGAATTTTATTTGATATAATTATAAATGTGCTGTGGAAAGTTTAAGACTGAACTTTCTCACTTTATTGACTTTATATTGAAATATTTAAAAATGTATTATTTGCAAAATCGGATTTAATTAGTTAAATTTTATGGATAATCTTGACAAATATGTGAAAAAAAAAAAATAATTTTATTGACCTTTAGTTTTCTGGTTGTAGTTGACCTTTCTGGTGAAATACCCATATATTCGTTTATTTACGTTGAAATACATAATAAACCATAAACATACATATGTAGGTCCAAAAACATTTATAATGTTTTTATATCTCATTCTTATCCGTTGAGTAGACTTTTATGCTCCTAATGCTCAGTTTTGGTTGAACCCACGATGAGGAATTAACATGGCTTTTTATAATCGATGAAATTTTGGCATTGGAATGTACGAAATTGCCTCCTTTTACTATTCGGGAATCGGGAAAATGAAGTTCACCCCCTACCGTCAAAAACAACTGAATGTGGCGCTAAAAATTCGTAAAATGTTAATTTATATAATCATATTTGAACAAATCTGCATAATTACCTCTCCATTTAACGATATTTCCTCCATTATTTCCTTGTTATCAAATATAGCGTAGGTCTGGCCATTCAACTTAAACGTTATACTATCGCTCTTCCAAATGGCAGAGTATGTATGATATCTGTTTCCAAAGTGTTCGTCGCTGCGAAAAAATTGATCTGCCTCGTGGGGTTCAAACTTATCTTTGTCCGGAGATTTTCTCAAAACTCCAGCAAAAAGACTTTTACCTCCGACCTCGTTGTTGGCAGTGTCTTTTAATTCGGAGTTACCCCGCACAATAGCAATGTTGATGGCATCGTTTTCAGTTGCTAACTGCATTCCTGAAAGTTTGAATCAATTTATAAAATAATTCAAAATAATATCTATCATCAAATTACCTGAAAATAAAAAATCTCCGTGGGCAACCTGGGCCTCAATATCAATTCTGACATGCCTAAATTTTGTTTTAGACTGTAGCATTGCAGCTTGAAATGGTGGAAGCAAGTTGTTGCGATAATATCTTTCTTCTTTTTTGTCACGAGTGCCGCATTTTAAATTTCCATCAACTTCATCAGTTCCAATATATGAACAATTTTCCAGAAAGGTTTCTCTAGTGCAATTGGTAACCTTTAAATGCAATGTTTTGTTTTCTATGTAACTATTTTGCTTTGACATTTTAAAAGAAACGCCTTCACGGTAGGGATGCTGGAACCGATGGATCACGTAGTGCTTCCAATTATCCATATTTTTTTCAAAGGAATCGGAGAATAAAAGTTCTCCGCTACATTTAACAGGAGTATTTCCCACTTTAGATATAGATGGAATACACACATTTGGGTCTTTTCGAAATTTTCAGCAACTTATGTCCTGGGAAGAATTTAATGGAAGTTTAATAATTTTCCTGACGGGTTGAGGTGATTTTTGTTTTTCCGATGCTCCATTTGTTTTGACTTTGAATGACCCTATAATTGTTTCATTTTGTTTGGTCTCTAAAATAGCGTCAATTGTGAGTGTCTCATTCAGGAATTCGTGTATAGCCCATGGGTGCACTTCTTTGGAATCGCATTTGTAATCGTAAGATTGACACGTGTCATTCCGTTTGATGGAAAAGAAAACTGACTTAATGTTTTCTTCTAAAAATTATAAAAAAAAAAATTATTTTAATATTTTAAAATTATTTAATGAATTTTAATGAAACAAAACACACTATATGTACATATACATATTTGTGTCAATTAAATTTGTTGATAACGAACATATACATACCAAAAATTATTGAGTATGAAAAAAACATATACATATGTATGTACATATATTTGCGATTTTTTTATTAATCTATTTACGTTCAATTGTTGAAAAAAAGGAATTGTGGTTTACTTTCCTATTCAATATTACAGTCTTACAAAAAACATACCTGGAAACGAAACCCAAGCCGAACCTTGTTCTGTGACGTTCACCAGTAAATTTGGTATATCGTGATATTTTAAACCGTTTACAAAAACGACAAATATGGTAAACAGGAACAGCCTCATCGTCTCGAGATTTAAAAACGGACTGATAATGAAAATTCATTATGCTCTTACCTCGCACTCTGCTTTAACCTATAAATTATAGACACAAACAGTGAGGAACAAAATGACACATACAGTAGAATCCGGCTATAACGACTCCGCTTATAGCGGCCGTCCGGTTATGGCGAATAAAAATCGATGGTTTGTTTGGTCCCCATACAAACTTATATGAAAGGAACTCCGCTAAGAACGTTTCCGCTTTTACCATAATCCGCTTATACCGACGAAATTTTTCGCAATTCAACTGGATATTGTGAAGCTCCGAAAAAAAATATGTACAGAAAATTACATCAAACGACGCTGTAAGAAATATACGTATTTATAGGTGATCGGCACCCTTGCCTGTGTGCGTAGCAATGATACAAAGATTCTTACACTCTCACTACTCTCTGCGAGATAGTCAAAGTGCTATGTTAAATTAAATTTATTAAATTTTTTGGTTTTGATTAAAAAATTGATTTGTTTTATTTTAGAAACCTATTACGAACATGGCAAACATAAAATAAACAAAAAAATTAAAAAAATTTTTTTTGCTCCTTTTGGTTATGGCGTCGTCCGGATATAACGACGTAAGATCGTCGGTCCCTTGAAAGTCGCTATAACCGGATTCTACTGTATTTTTAATCTTTAAAGTATGAATTTTAAATACTCAGAAGCCATAAGAGCGAGAGTAAATGGTAAGCACCACTTTTCTTAGATTATGTATTCAGTTTAAATTAAAATGACATATTTAATTTAGTTCTTAAATATCGGCTATTCCGGCGGATGGTCAACCAGGACCGAAAAAATAAATGTCCATATTCCTCGATTCTTTTTTTGTATTTTCATAAATAAATACCCAAATTTTCATAATCTATTGGATTCATAGCATATTCCTCGATTCTTTTTTTGTATTTTCATAAATAAATACCCAAATTTTCATAATCTATTGGATTCATAGCATATCTCAGCTTTTAAAAAAAAAAAAAAGTCAAAAAATGTAATTTTCATCTTTTTTTTTACTTTTAAAGACGTTTTTATGTTTATTTATTTCTCAAGGAAAACATATGATGTTTTTGCTCTTTTTGTACTAAATCTCTTAATAACAATCTAATAAGACGAGAAAAATTCAAAAATTCATTTTTTTTCTTCTTTTCTTTTCCTCTTTTTTTGCTAACTAGGCTGTGCGTCTTTTTTTCACATTTTGAACTCTCCGGGTCAACAACCCCTTCAAAAAAAAAATATCCCAAATTTCCCTATATCTTACTCGGTGGCATCACTAGGCCGACCATGTCCAACTAGGTGGCATCACTAGGGCCTACCATGTCCGACTAGGTGGCATCACAAGTCCGACTTATTTATCGGCCACAACAGCCACGCTTTCCAACGTCAAATGCTAATAGAAAAAAGGACGATTGAATCCCCTTTTCGGTGCAGACCCATTATCAGGAGGCCCCTCCGGACCCCATCTTCAGCGCCCAACGTGGGAGATGACCCCTAGGACTCAACCTCTTCTTCTCAATCTCGACGTTTGGTGCCACTGCGCTTGGGGTTGTAGGCTTCCATGGAATTTCTAGACGCTCCACCCATTCTCTGCAGCCTCTTCCGACCAAACTGATCGAAGCTCCAGAATCCAACAGACCTTTCACCACCATTCCTGCCACCATGACCTTAGCGTAGGGTCGGGGGTCGATCTTGGTTGCCCCTCGCGTCATTGGCATCACCGATCTGCTTACTCCCTGGCGTTCCTTTTTCCTTCTTCTAAAGCGCTCTCGGATCTTTTTGACTCTTCTCGTGACCATCGTCATTCCAGACAGCTGGTTCTGCCGGAAGATTCTCTCTCTCGCCTCTTTGTACCGTCGCACCCTCTCCTCCAAGCTCTGAATCACCTTTTGTTTCGCTTGCTGTATCCTTCCGGCTTCATCTTGGTTGTCGCGTACGGGTCGGGTTTTTCGGGTTTAGCTATATTAACCCGGCTCACTGCCTCCTCTGGACCTCGGGCTCCTTCGCTGAACGTTGGTTGCCCGTTACCCCAACGTTCCTGTTGGCGTTTCCCTGCCTGCAGTTCGGACATTTTGGCGTTACGGTGTTGGCCAACCCAGACTTGTAGCAGAAGATCCGTCGCTGCGCTGCTTAGCAGTCCATGTAAACGTGACCCTGTTGCTGACAGTTCCAGCACTTGATCACTTTCTGGGGTGCGCCGTTGGTTATTGCTGCAACCGTTTCCTCCGACCTTTTCCTTGCGCCTCCTTCGATTCGATTGTCCAATAAGAATGCACCTCCTCCAGTCTTCCTACACGTCATCCCGAGGCTTGTATCCAGTGGCCATTCGTTGCCTATACCCTGCTCCTCGCTCCGGAATTGGGACCCGTTCTACCTCCTTACATTGGTCGTGTAGGTGTTCCAGGGTGTACACCCGGATCGGATAGACCCACTGCCTCATCGGCTCCAGCAGATTTCGTTTTGCCGTCTTGTTAATCCAATCATTCTCCACTCCTGATTTTATGGATGCCACCAGTCTATTGAGGGCCATGAAATAATCTTCCAGCGACTCTCCCTGCCGTTGTTTTCTTTCCGCGATGTCCTGTATTCTATCATAATCGCTTCTGTTGTCGCAATATCTGCGTTGGATGGCTTCGTTTAGTTCTCTCCAGTCTTGTGGCGGCTTTGTCCTTATTAGTAGCCAGTACCATTCGGATGCTTCCTCGGTCAGCAATCGGTGGAAGTCCCGTAGCAGCTCAATCCATGGCGTCGCATACTACTTTTGTAGGTGTTCTACTCGGAGTACGAAATCCTCCGCTCTCATCGTTCCTGGACGCCCGGAAAACAGACAACCCCACTTATCTACGGGTACATATTGCCGGCGTGTTTGCTGCGATTCCTGTCCCGGGGGTATTCGATACGCCCCTATTAGCTCGCCAAGGAAGCTCCTATTACGGCTTGAACTGCGGGGTCTCCTTTCGGTCTGCTGTGCCGGGAACTCCCAATTTCTATTCCTTTCCGCCCTTTGATTTTTTTTCCGCCATTACTTGGTTACGAAAGACAATAAGATCATTCGGTCCTGGAGCATCTCCGTCTCCTGTTGTTTCCCGCATCTGAGCTCGGTGGCGCTAGTGAAATTGTCGGCTTTTCCGCCTTTCGCTTGTCCTCCTGACGCATTCCTGTACTTGAAGAACCGTCTGCTGACCCTGCCGGCTGATTATTCTCCACCTACGTCGTCATTGAGGACTCGGAGGATCTAGAGGATGGGATCTTTTCCCTGGTTTGCTCTATCTTCCGGATAATCTGCTCGAATCCTGTCCTCGTGCACGCGTCGATCCTTCGATCTACCAACTGGCTGAGATCCACCCTTAGCTGCTCTTGGGAGTGGATGCTTGGTCCAGGCTGAGGTTTCTCGGAATCGCCCCCCTTTGTTGTGCGCTGAGCCGACCGGTCTCTCTAGTATCTGTACCGCCCTGTGCGCCCCCTTCCACTCGGACCGCCCATGGAAGTGTGATTCGGAAGTTTTCTTTCAGATTCGGAGTTTTGGTTAACCTATCTACCCGGAGAACTGTTTTAACTCGCCTAAAAGCTCTATACCTAACTGAATAAATAAAGGATAAATACTAGGGAATACTTTCAACAATATCAATAAATAAATATATCAATAACAAAAATAATTAAATAAATAAATATATCAATAACAAATAAATAAATAAATATCTAACAAAAAAAATAAATAAATAAATATATAAACAAGAAAGGAAAGCTAACTTCGGGCGGAGCCGAAGTTTATATACCCTTGCAGTTAAAACCAGATATATATCGCAAACATCGGATATAGTTGGCCGACCCTTATGGGAATAGGAATATATAATCCAATTTTTTACAATACAAAATCTAAAAAAAGTCCCAAACTTCTATCTTCAAAAATACGAAAGTTGATATTTCTACCAAGTACCATTTCCGATCGTTCAGTTATATGGCAGCTATAGGATATAGTCGGCCGATCCTAATGAAATTTGGCATGTCGTAATTTTTTGCCAAAAATAGCTCTCATGTCAAATTTGAACTCTTTAACTCTAAAAACACCAAAGTTATTCAATTTCCGATCAATCAGTTATATGGCAGCTATAGGATATAGTCGGCCGATCCCGGTCGTTCCGACTTATATACTGCGTGCAAAGGAAAGAAGGGTGTGTGCAAAGTTTCAAGAGGATAGCTTTAAAACTGAGATACTAGTTTTCGTAGAAACAGACAGACGGACATGCTTATATCAACTCAGGAGGTGATCCTGATTAAGAATATATATACTTTATAGGGTCGGAGATGTCTCCTTCACTGCGTTGCACACTTTTGACCAAAATTATAAAACCCTCTGCAAGGGTATAAAAACAATAGAAACAATTTTCCAACTCACACAAATATTATACAAAATAAAATTAAAAAAAGTAATTTTAAATATTTGATCCATGGCTTTTATTCGCTTTGGCATGCTTTCTATTCATTTTTTAATAATATTCTGGGGTACTTGCTTCCACACCGGCTCCACAGGCCTCCAAAGCTCGGCACGATTGCAAGGTATAAATTAAAATACATTACCTTAGAAAAAAAAAAGTCGTTACGATTTATTTTTTCGTTTATACAAACATAAATGGGCGCGTTCTAAATAAATCCAAAAGGTTATCATGTAGAAAGACTTTCAATTCGCATACACTCGTACGAAATCAATAAGCATTGCAGGCTGCTCCCAAGTTGGCAGCCAATCGCTTTCGTGGGCGTGGAACTCGATCTTTGCCAGAGGGTGATAGTTTCTCCAGGGCTTCTCATAGGTCGCCGTACGAAGATCGTCGATAAAGTCTCCGAATCCACCCACAGAGAGTCCCAAAGTGATGTAAAACTTACGGAACCCATGGAAAAGATAAGCCACACTAAATATTTTTAAACTAAGTATATTAACGAAGACTATCTTACCAGCCTATCAAAAGGAGCCATGGGACCACCCTGTTTCCACCTGGGATTTAGATCCAATTCCGCAAAGCCGTTCAGTATCTCTCCATAGATCTGGCCATCAACTGAAAACTGTAGCCCTGTGCTGCTCCAGTCCATACTATAGGTGTGAAAGTCGTTGGAAAAGTGCGAACTCCTCCGCTGGCTGACCAAGGAATCCTCCCTTAGCTGGGCATCTGGAGAAAGGATGGGTCCACCGTACAGTGATCTTCCGTCGACGAGCTTCCCTCGCGGCATCTTCAGCTTGGAGTTTCCCCTGGCAAAAGCCACTCGAAGCTGTCCTGATTCATAGCCCGTTTGGCCGTACCACTCCGTAAGGGGTTCCAGCAACAGGAGGGGCACCATCCAGTCCCCTTTCGGAAATCTGGCCCTTATTTCGATGCGTCCGTATTGGAAGGCGAATGACTCCTTGGTGTTAATACGGGGTACCACTACAGGTGGCATTATGCCACTGGGACCACTGCCGGTGGTTTGCAGCACACATTCTCTGCGTCTGTTGTGGGTGCCTGTACACCGTTCGGAGAGATCCAGCCTGGCATTGGCAATGGACAAATCTGGGCGATAGCTTGACCACAGCACAGGCTCGATCACCAGATTGCCCTCCTCCACCCTGGCTCTTCCATCATACAAAACAAACTCAGCATCTTTGGTGTCGAGCGGCAGGCGAACTTCATGAAGCCAGAGGGAATCATTAAGCTGATCAAAGGTCTCCTGAAAAATAAGCTGTCCTTTGCAGATGGGTCCACTTGGAGCGGGTGAAACCTTTGTCGAAGATGGCTTGCACGGTTCAGGTGATGTAGATTCCACAAATCCTTCAACGTTATTCGATGGATTGCCATCTGTGGGATCGTCATCCTCATGGGACGTACATCCTCTCGGTAGATAGTTCCCTTCCAAATTGCAAACCTGCAAGGGCTGACCCATGTCCTGGTACACTGCCTTTTCGTGCTGTACACTTGTCCACAGATACAGGACATCGTGAGCCCTTAAGGGAACGGACACAAACTCACTTGTCCATCTCCCATTCTGAGGTTTGGTTAACCTCACAGTGTACTGTCCTTGGTTGAAGGATGTAAAGTTTTTGTTGCGATTGGCATTAAAGGCAACCAGTTTCACACCGTTTTCATCTAAAACAAAACATATTTTAAAATCTCTTCAAATTTTAAATAACTATTTACTTTTGTTGCTTTTGTTTTTAACTTATACGAGAGGGCTTCCCCTTCACGAAAAAGCATTTTTATAAATTGTAAACAAACATACATACCTGGTATAGAGATACGAAAGCCATTTTCCAGCAGCTCCACCCTGGGCGTCGGAGTTTTATATCCTTTAATATTGGCAATGGTGATAAGAAGGAGTATACCTAAGCCCAATCCTGGCATTTTTAATCCTCACTTTTTCTCTTTTCTATGAAGAAGATCTAAAGCCTCTGACTCAGCCTGTATCTCTACCTCAATTTGAGACCGGTTTCTGCTGCGATTGCTGCTGAGTCTGGGCGATTGTTTATTTTTGCTTGGCCCCTAATCGCGAATCGGCGTATGTTTGGTGATTCCCGCTCATGTTAGCACCGGCTTCGATCTCGTCTGCTCCTCTGATTAAACAAATCAGTATTTTCGACTAGTGGCGGGAGTCTCAATCTCTCGTTCGACTGACCCCGCTGATCAACCTTAGCTTTCAACAGCTGATAAGCTTATGATAAAGCTTACTCGCATAAAAATATTTTTATTTTTTATCTCTTATATATATTTTTCTAATGAAAAAATATTCCGAAATTCTATTAAATTTTAGGGAATACTTTTTCAGAAAAACCAGTTTTAAAGTTTAATCAATATGCATAATTCAATCGACATGGATTGCAATCAAGCCAAGCTTTGTAAAACACTAAGCTTTCAAATCAAGATTTTCAATCGAATGCAACAGTTCCAGTAGAGAGCTTCCAAGAATTATACGTTAATCGGGTTCTAGTAGTTAGTACAGATTTTAGATTAATTAAAACTGCGTCATGTGGTGGAAAACTCTACCGTGTTGCTGCTGTCTTTTAATATTGTTAATATCAAACTGTGATGAAGTGTTGGCATTTAAAATTCCCGATGTTGAATTTGAAATATTCAGAGACTCAGGATTTGAAGTCTCCATACCAGGTGAATATAATATTTCATGCGAGGTCGTTTCAGTTCTACTCTGCAGAGAATATGCACAGTATTCTATAGCAATATTTAGATTCATTCTAATGATAACCTCTTCCAGATGAGCCTGGCCTACAACGAGTTTTCTATATGTTTCAAATAGATGACTTATGTCCGGCTCTTATGGACTATATTACGAAGGCCGTCAATGGCAGTTGGGTATCCAAACAAAAAGCCTGCGTCCAGAACAACGATAAGCTTCACATTTCATTACTGGTTCAGTACAATGATCAGATATATGAAAAAACAGAGACAAGGGTTATCATTAATACACGTCTACTGACCACCAAGACCTCCCAATCCAGAAGCATAGCATTTCCCTCTGGCGAGGGTGAGTGTGAGGCGTTCCTGAGCCCCCGAAAGGCATCCCAGAAGTGCTTGCCATCCCAAACCATTGTAAAAAGTGGTCGTAAGGTCTGCCAGGGTGAACTGATATTTGAGGACAACTTTTCGGGAATGCATCTTAATAGAAGCACCTGGAAGCATGATATTCGGCAGCGTTTGTATCATGTCGAGGAGGAGCTGGTAGCCTTCGACGATGCGCCCCGTAACTGTTTCCTAAAGGAGGGAGACCTCAACATTGTTCCCATTATGGCCAGTGACGTTACCCAGGGCACGTTTAATCTCGGAGATCGCTGCACAGCCGTAGAGAGTCGGGATCAGGAGTGCAGCATAGCTCAAGGCAGTTATTATAGCATTAAGCCTCCCGTTTTCTCAGCCCAAATACACACCCGGAATTCCTTTAGTTTTAAATACGGAAAAATTGAAGTTCGTGCAAAATTACCCAAAGGAGATTGGCTCTTTCCCTGTAAGTAATAGATAAAATTATTGAATCTTCAAAAATTAATTGTAAAATTCATTTAAAGATATCATGTTGCAACCGGTGTCAACATTTGCGGAAACCCACTATGCCAAACAATTGAGTAAGTAAATTAAAAAAAACAAATTAATTGAACATTTTAAAAAAATTTTAAATTTTAGGAATCGCCTTCGCCAGAGGCAATGCTAATCTAAGGAGCAAACAGAATGAGGACATCTCCGGCAATCATCTTTACGGTGGCATGTTGATCTGGCACCATGGAAGAGCAGTTCAGTACCTTAGGGATCGGATTAGCACGACCCATTATGGCGATGATTACCATAATTATTCCATGATATGGCAACGTGAAAAGATAACCCTGATGGTAGACGATGAGATCTACGGTGAAATTACTGATGGATTGGCTCTTTTCAACGAGAAGTGCTTTATAATACTGGGTGTTACGGTAGGAGGATTTATTAATTTTGATGATGCAGTGTTGGAGAAAGATGTGAAGCCGTATAGAAATACAGAACCCCGCGCCGCACTATCTTTTTGGCAAAACAGGGACTTGTGGTCCTCTACTTGGGGCAAACATAGTTCCATGCTTATAGATTACGTGAGAGTATATGCCGATTAAAACTTGATCACATTTTTCAGGATAACAGTTTCTCTTAAAAATAAATACATTTTTTAAAAGAAAAATCCATGTTGGCAATACAAAACTACAATAAGTTAATAAAAAAAATTGTTAAACAGAATAGACCGTTGTATTGGCTAGTTTTAAATGAATTATCGAAATAAGTATAAAATCATGTGCTCCTTTGAAAAATATGTCATTGTTTTTGGGTTATAAAAGGTTATAGGTTATATAGTTATAACATTATAACACATTTTATACACTTTCATTTTTATTAAGCTTATATTATTTTTGTTCGTTCTTTCGAAAAAAAAAATAATTACCAACGTTTCTGAAAACGCGATAGATTTGAATTTTAGCGCACTCTAAACTCGCATCTCTAACAGGGCAACCCTGTAATTAGCAGCTGTGTTATCGCTAGCCCCTCGATAATTTTCCAGCAGCTGTCATCGTTTTCATTTGCGACTTTTTTGCGGAGAGTGCGTTTTTTCGGAGGAGCAGACTAGCGTACTGGACTGGGAAACGAAAGGCAGGAAAGGAAGTAGCGTTTGGAAATCATTCCCAATTCGAGCAAACGTAGTGAGCAACTAGAAGAATTCAGCGGCAAACCATGCCTTCGGCTGTGACCACCACGATTACCACCACCACCATCACCAGCAACAACAACAATAGCAAGGAGAAACGCGCCTCTGTCAGCTCCATTGGTGCTGGTACGGGAAACGGCGGAGGTAGCGTTGGAGGATTCACGGTAGGAGCAGGCGGAGCTGGATGTGGAAACGTTGCTACCACCAATGGCCAGCACACAAGCAGCAGCAGTAGCGGCGGCAATCTAGCGGCTGCAGCGGTTCAGCCGGCTGACTCGGATTTGGCCAACAACAATGCTAGCAACGGAAACACCAGCAAAACCCTAAAAACTGGTGTATCCGCCGCCCTTGTCGCTTCGGAGCCCTACAATCCGCTAAAGCAAATGCTGGTCATCATCGAGCACAAAATCCGAAATCTGGAGAAGCGTAAGGTAAGCTGGAAATCCCCATTAAAAAGAGTCTAAGACAAAGGATTCCGGGGCAGCATGGCCCACCATTTTTATTTTCATATTCTCTTCGTGTTGCTTTGTTTCGTTTTGCGCGCACACCCCGCCTCATCCCTTACCCATAGCAAATTTTTCGCGACGCCATGTTTTCTAGAGCACGGTGCTACCAGATCTTTTTCAACTCGTCTCTTGTTGCCGGCATGCCCGCTTAGAACTATAGGAAAAATTACGTTGAAACATGTACTATTGTAATATAAATCTCCTCCATACTTTGAACCTTCAATGGTTTGATGATTTTTTCCCAGCCTAATTGGCCTATTATAGGTTCTAGAATATTTCACCCTTGCAAACAACAGCTGTGTTTGAAACTGATCTGGCAACTCTGTATTTCTGCTGAATGTTAAAAGTGCACATTATTTGTTTATATGGGTCATCTAAATATTAGGATATGACTAAAGGAGTGTACATTTTCAAAATGTTGTTTGTCTATTCATTTTAATTGCTTAGGTGAAAAATTCTTTATTTTATTTTTTTGGTTAAATATATATTTTTTAAGTGTGTTCAGCAGGAATCCAGTAGAAATATAAGTGATATCACATTCTTTCATGTTCTTTATGATTCATTCAAAAATAACTGATATGATATATGATTATTTTTCATACAGACAAAACTGGAGTCATATCGCGCCATACAGAGCAGCGGCAAGGAACTGAGCGCTGACCAGGCTTCGGCCGTGGCTAAGTATGATGCGGTCCTGGCTAATCTGGAGTTTGCTCGAGACTTGGCCAAGCAGATGCAACAGCAGTCTAAGGAGGCGGAAAAGGAGCAAAAGAAACAGGCCCGCAAGGTGAGTAATTCAAATTTGGATTTCTTTTTGTAATTGAAAAATAATTTTGAACTTTTCTTTAAAGGACAACCAGGCAAAGATTCTCGCTGAGACGGCCAAGATTCGGGAGGTTCTAGTCATCCAGAATGTGCTCAATTGCTTCAACGATGAACAAGTGCGCAATGATTTCGTTAGCGGCGAGAACGGAGCTGTAAAGCTGGAGACATCCGAATTGGACATCCTGGAGAAATTGTATGTTTCCTAATTTTAAAATAAGGTATTATTTTTTATAGAAACTTCTTATGCAAAATTTTTAGTTGCTTGGAGTCTCAAACTCGTCGCCCGGAGACCCTTGACGATGTCAGCTTTATCTCGACTGCCCAGAAATCCGCTGAATTGTTCGCGTCGACAATAAACGCCCGACCGAAGCCATACGGAGACACTTCCTTTGAGAAGCTGCGAGCCCTTTTCCAGCAAATCCAGGACTGCGGTTACTTGGACAAGTACTACCAGGTGCCCAGTGAGAATGCTGCGGCCAACAGCACGGATAGCGGAACTGGAAGCGGAGAAGGCGATGCCGGAGAATTGCTGAATGATAGATCCGGTGAGCTGGAGACGGAACTGACTTCGGAGCCATCTGCTCGCAATTCGCTGGAAGAGGGCCTGGATAAGCTGCATTTGGGCGGACAGCCGGAACTGGAGCCGCATATTCAGCCACCGCTGGAGCGTCCAGCCCATCTTTTGATCGAGCCGCAGCACCAACGTGGTCCTCCTTTGGAGCAGCTACACCAACAGCAGGGCTTGGTAGTTCAGCAGCCACAACAGCCGCCGCAGGTTTACCAGGCAGCTCCTCAAGCCGGCGGTACTACCACCCCAGTGCATGTACTATATGCTCCTGCACCGCCACCCCAACAACCACCGCACCCTCATCAGCTTCTGAGCAGTCCCGTAAATCTCCAAGCGTTGCAACCAGGAGCTGCTGCGCCCCACCCTCCGCAGCAACAACAGCAGCAGCCGCCGCATCCGCAACACTTCGCTCCCAGTGTGAGGTCCGTGGAGCAAAATTACTTTAAGCAACCGCCGCCGCATCCACAGGCACCGGGCTTGCAGGCACCACCAACGCCGCAACAGCAGCAGCAGTTCATGCAGCAACTGCGTCCTTTAGCGGAGGTGTTGGGCACGGGAAGCTTCCACTTTCTGCAGGACAGCGAACTGGACACTCCCGAAGTTCTGGCCCCACCGCCGGCTGCGAATGCTGGATTGGTATTTGAAGCTCAGCCACAGCAGCAACCGAATCATGTCGAGGAACCACCACAGGCCATACAATCGCTGACCTTCACCAATCAATCGTTTCCCTCGCAGCAACAACAGCCGCAACCCAAACAGCAACAACAGGCACCTCCCCAGCAGCAGCAACTATTCTCCCCAGTTCTCATTCACGAACAACGCCAGCAACAGCAGCAGCAACAACAGCAGCAGCCGATGTTGATTATTCAGCAACCTGTTCCCCTGGGAATCGGCATGCAACCGGGCGATGTTACTTGTGTGTTTCCCTACGAAAATGCATTGGAACAGCACCTGAAGCAGCAGCAGCAACAACAACAGCATCTAAAACAGCAGCAGCAACAACAACCGCAGCCGCAGCTGGATGATCCGTCGGCCGTAAATGCCGCTTCCACTATTGGAGCTGGTGGCGATGTGGTGGAGAACAACGAGTGGAATTCGCGTAATAACGACACCAATGTTGCAGCCACAGCTGCTCTGACCAACGTACTGAAGGGGGAAGCTACACCCACCGCCCTTCCAACCAAGTGGAGCTCTGAGATGAACGCCTTGAGTAGTGCTGCATCTAACGGCAGCAGCAGTAACACCAGTCACAAGCAGGATTGGGCCACACCACGGGATAATAGCGCTGGAGGCGGAGGCGGAAGCGGAAATGGCGGTTATGCTGACAACGAGGGCAACAATCACTGGAACTCGCAGGGCGAGGGTCGCCGTAATTCTGGGAATTACCAGCGGCGCAGCGGTGGAAACGGAGGAGATCGCGATCGGGAGAGGGACAACAGGGATCGTGACCAGGGCGGACGTGGCGATGAACGCCGCAACGGTAACTATCGTTCCCGTCAGTACGGTAACTCGTCGAATCAGAACGGCCGGAACTCTGGTAACAGTGGGGTCTACTTCCGCAACAACGAGTCCGGAAACGGAGGTGGCAACAGCTACTACCAGAACGGAGGCGGCGGCGGTGGATCGTACAACAAGGAGTCGCGCTACGAGTCATCGGGAGGCGGTAGCTATCGTAACCAGCGTGGTGGTAACCAGCAACGCAACGGCAACGGCTCCTTCGGCAGACCGATGGGCGATCGTGGACGTGGTGGAGCGGGAAACCAGGGCGGTGGCGGCTACATAAACCAGCGCCAGAATCAGTCCCAACGCATGCCCCTCGGATTGGAGAACAAAAATTGAGAAAATTAGAAACTGAGCAAACAATACGTATTAACAGCAAACAAAAAACATAAAAATCTTCATGCAACCCATACACACAACCCAACCCATATTAAGAAAATGCAAAACACCAAACAAATCCAATCATCCACATGCAAGTAATGGCCACGTAGACGTACAATTATCGTTACGTTTAACTCTCAACGGAACTCTTATCAAAAGAATCCTTAAACTGTCGCTAGGGAAAAGAAAAGGAAGCAGCAGCAGCATACCGATTCGCATGCATTTTTGAATACAATTATTTAAATAATTATTTCCCTCGATTATATGGTTTATTTGATAATGTATTAATAATAAAACAAAATAGTTGTTAGAAACATAAACAAAAAAACAAGAAAATTACAACTATATACAGGAAACTGAACGCTCTAAGGGTTTCTAAAACTCCCAGACAGTACAGAACTTCGGTAAAATGATACAAAGATGAGCAAAGTACATAACTCGGATCAGTTTCTCTTCGACCGGCATACATATATCTCCTGTTTGGATGCGTTGAAGCTGATGCAGTAACAGATGTCGAGAACGAGGAAAAATAGTATTTATACGTCTTAGCAATTAAATAACAATTCTGAAATATACAAATTAATTACTATTACCTATATATATAAACGAAGGATAAATATATTTATAGTTTGTGCTCTTACTGTCATGCTCTATCCCATTTCAACACAATTTTTTTTGTTCTGCCAAAACTTTTACACACAAAAGCAAAAAAAAAAAGAAAAATACAAAAACCACATACGAAAATAATAGTTGTAATTAAAACTACACAATTGAAGAAGCATGCATGCTAAATGTGCATTATAAAAGAAATGAAACTATGTATTTGAAAAAAGTACATACATTAAACAAAAATATAAAAAATTGCTTATTTTTGTACTTTATTAGGGATTTTAAAAAAAGAGTTCTCAAACTATAGTATATTTTTTTAATGCTACTTCTATTTTTCTTTGTCAGATTTATTTTTCTTAGTTTCAGCAGCTCCTCCGTCATCGCACAGGAACCAAAGACCCGCCACTATAAGAGTTATTCCAACGCCAGATAATGCCGTCAGTGGCTCTTGGTAGACCAGAGCCCCCAAAATAAACTATAAACAATATATTAGCCGTAGTAAAATAAACATTTTCAAGAAACACCCACCGATAAGATATAATTAGAAGCGGCAGTTAAAACAACACAGGTTAATGTTTGCTCCGTCATTTGGAGGGCTTTTAGAAAGCAACGCAAATTGGCAACATTGCAGATTACCATTAAAACCAAAGGTAAAACTTGAACCAATCCTGTTCCTATAAAACAACGTTTATAATTAAAGTCCTGACCTCTATAAACAAAATACTTGCCCAAATAAGAGGAATCTGAAGGGTTATCGGTCAAATTTAAAAAATTTTGAGCCTTGAGATGACTTGGTAGCTTCCCGAAAAAACTGCCACCGGCAGCAAAAGAACCAGCCACTAAACTATACCGATACTTAAGTAAAGACTCCATTTAATTTGAATATTTAAAAAAAGAATAAACGAAAATTCCGGTAACAAATAAACAAATCTACAGCTGACTTACGGCGCTGCCAACCCGGGCTCCTATCGAAAAATTAATCGATATATTTTTTTAAATATTAAAAATATTCAGAAAAACCAAATTTTACGACTTATTTTAAAGAAAATGTTAATTATTTTCAATATTTGTTGTTTTTACAAAATTTTTTCATAAGAAATCCATTATCGTATGGGTTTTAAGAATAGGGATACGTCCGTTACGCCATTTTGATTTGGGCGCCATTTTGAATAAAACAAAACTTTAAAATGTATTTCGTATTTTCACTTTTATTTTACAAAACGTTCAGCTAATGCCTTGACAATTAAATCGAAAAAGTCTCATTTGCTAATTGCGCGTTGTATTTTAAGTTTTTTTTTTTCATCTTCATCTTTTGGAATTGTGTCTATTTACAAATATAGTTCCTACATAAATAATACAAATTATCTTGTTGTTTTTTTTCTCGAAAAAAACTCAATTTAGTTTGTAGCAAAATATTTGCTGTCTTACAAAAATAAATCCAGATCGAACAAAGCAAAAATCTAATGCTGCCTGGCATAAACTTCACGTTTAGACACTTATTATGGGAAATTGCTTCAAGTGCTTTGCATTTCATTTCATTGCTTTGCATTTGCTGTTTTCGTTTCAACTATAATTTTGCTATCATATATTTAGTTAAATATTTCATACTTGTTGCATAATACTTTGCCTGTTTTGGTTTTCTCACGCACACACAACTATTCTCGATGCACTCCAAGCACAAATTAATTAACAAAAGTACTTAACATTTCTATATAAATATTTTTGATGCTTTGTGTTTTTTTGTCTCTTTTTTTCTGATTTTGATTTTACATATTGGCTAAAGGTAAACTGCTCACATTTAGTTTATGCAATAATTTTTAAAATGTATACATATTCTTGTATATATATATAAATTTGTATAGTATAATTTGTTGTGTGTGTGTGTAGTGTATCATTTGCTAGGAAAATGCAACGACTTTGAGCCGTACCTGGTAGTTCACAGAATTGAACTCCTCCTTGTTTATTTTTTGTTTTTAAACCAACATGCATCTACTGTAACGACTTTTGTTTTAAACATTTACAATTCTCACTGAATTCCGAATACTCTAAAAAAGACACTTTTTCTTGCTTACACATTCCCATAAATATAATGGTCTCCCACTGAATGGATTCCCTCCCTATCCATCTTTCCATCTTGGTTTAATACCCTGTGTTATTCTAATGCGGCTAATTTCTATCTAGATATATGCATATCTTCTTCAGCTGGTCTACATCAGGACACAGCACTTGCGACTGGAACTGGTGCTATCGCTGACCACATCACCGGTGATTCCGCTAAACTTGTTCACCGAACTGCTGGCCGGGGAGGATACCTCGTAATCCGATATTAGACTGCCAGGACCCATTCCAATGCCCATTCCCAGTGGTTGCGTTGAGATGGGGGCTGCTCCTCCGTTGTTGTTGTTGTTGCTGGTACTGATGTTGTTGTTGTTGTTGCCGCCGGCTCCTAAAACAGAACCATTAATAGTTGTTGCTGTCGTCGCTGTGGCAGCAACAATTGGCATAGAATTGGCAAGGCTAGTGGCTTGGGATGATGACAATTCGAAATTATTGAGTACATTGGCGGTGCGGGAAAGCGAGCGTTGCTTCTTCAAATTGGACAATGTCGCACCATAGCCATCTAAGGCGATATGTTGCTGCTGTAGCTGTAGCTGTTGGTGCTGCTGTTGCTGTTGATGTTGCTGCAACAGCATTGCGTGTTGCTGAAGCTGCTGTTGGTGATGTTGCTGCTGCTGTTGCTGATGATGGTGTGTGCTGTTTGTGTCTAGGGGTGGGTGTGTGTGGTGTGGTGTGTGCGAAATGGTATTTTTTTTTTCGTCAATGATGATGATGATGATGCAGGCAGGCGGTGGCGGTGGCAGTGGCATTGGGCGGCAGGCAGACGACACAAAACGGGCGATACGAGCCACAACAACAACAAAAAATAAAGAATGAAACAAAAACAAGCAAATGTTATTTAACTTTTTTTTCTCTCTCTGAGGGTTAAGTTATCTATAATACCCCTTGCCCAGTTGGATGTACTTAGTCTAGATGATGGATGTTACATGCCAGAAATAAAAATATTTTATCGCTACCATGCTTAATTTTGTTATTGGAAGATGTCCTTCCATCGACTAGATATTTGTTTCCAATACTTTAAGATCCTTTTTACAGGATATCTCCTAATCTATATTCTAGGCATGCTGTTAGCTCTGCTTGCTTGTTGGAAGTATTTTCATTTCCATTTTAGTAGAGTCGTTAAATAAACATTAAACATTGACACTGACACGGGGACAGGACGGCGCTTAAGCAGGACTCTCAGCGATACTGTGATGCTCCTTGGAAGTCGAGCTCTTTGAGGACTCTTTCCAAATGAATTGGATGGGCAGATGGGTGGTGATTTCGGGTGAGTGGAACAAGCGGAAGCAAGCCTGACACGTGGCCAGAGCTGGGAACTTACCCACTAAAACGGTGACTTGGACATTGATCTTGCCGTTGGCAGCCTCTTTGGACGATTGGATTTGGACGGCCTCGGCACTAGCCGCCGTGCCCTTCTCCGTCAGGATCACAGCCGCCGCTGAAGTGGCCCGCTGCATGTCGCCCACGGCGCCGGCTTTCAGGAATAGTTCATCGTTCTCCCGGCCATCCGGCGGACGACGCGGCTGATAGGAATGTGTGGCGGTCGCCGTCAGTGCGGCGGACGATGACGAAACCATCGCATTGTCCAGCGCATCGGCGGACTTGGAGTGCGGCAGTAGTTGGCCGTTGGAACTGCCCGTCGAGGGTCGCTTTTCGCCGTTGTTGTTGCCATAACCATAACCATTGGTCAGGGGATCGCCGCCACTCACGGCGGAGGTGTCCGATGCCGTTGCCTCCTGGGCCTGCAGACGTAGGCGCGTCTCCTCGACGGCATCCTTTTTGGTTGTCAGCGTTTTGTCCCGCAAGCTCGTACGGCGCACCGATTGGGCTCTGTTGGAGGAGATTTGTTATTCAAATTATTTAATTTTTTTAGATTTATAAGGAGGGTCACCTGGTGTTGTTACTCTGCGAGCGTCGAACCCGTCTTCGCTGCGCCTCAGCAAGTCGTTTGCTTTCCTGCTCCGTTTTCAGTTGCTCGATACGTTCCCTGATTTCAGGATCTTCACAGATGTCTATAAAATTACACAAATAAATAAATAAAAGACTAACATATGCAAATAAAATTCCCATTCATAGTCGCATTTATTTTCATTTAAAATGCTTCAACCTTCCCCCCATAAAGATGTTATTTCAACTCTTTAGTCAAAACGAATCAAAAATTCAAATCCCAGAAACATGTTAACATTAGCAAAAATTTATGGCTCAATTTCATATTCATGTTTATTTTCCCGGGCAGGACATTCATGGGTTTCTTTTCGTATTCTCACCTGACGGCGTCTCGTCGTCCTTGTTGCGAACATTTAAATCAGCACCACATTGGGCCAGCATTTCCAGCACCTCGAGCTGAAAAGGGGAGAGAAACATTTTTTTGTAAATTGTTTGCCATTGTTTATGGTTATCTTGACTTCACTTACATGTCCCCAACAGGCGGCGGCGTGCACCGGTGTCCACAGATCCTTGTCCATGGCATCCACGTTGACGTGCTGCTCTAGCAGGAACTCAACCACACGGACATAGCCATTGGCAGCGGCTATGTGAAGCTGAAAGCCAGTAACAAAATATTATTATATAAAGGGATAAGCAATAGTTCATGAAACCAGCATGGAAGGTCCAAGGAATTTGCTGACTCACCGGGGTGGCACACTGGTAATCCGGCTCCTCCAAATCGCCTCCAGTGCGTGCCAGCTCCATGAGGTCGCGCAGCATGATGCGCTCCGTGGAGGAACGCGTCTCGTCGATAAGCTCCTGGGTTACGCCCCTTTGCGCCATCTCGCCCTCGATAAAGTCCAGGGTGTTCTCGTCGTCGCAAAGGTCGTAGGGCATATTGCCATCGGTGTTGACGGCCAAAAGATTGGCTCCGTGCCGGATGAGAATGCGCACCAGCTCAAGATGGCCGCAGGTGGCGGCGGCATGCAACGGCGTCCACTTGTCACTGTCCTGGGCATCCACATTCGCTCCGTACTCGAGCAGCAGCTGGAGCATCTCCACGTTGTTGTCGATGCAGGCCTGGTGCATCGCCGTCAGCCCGTCTTCGTTGGCCGCATCTGGCGTGATTCCGTGCTGGAGCAGTGCCGCCACCTCGGGCATGTCGTTCCGGGACGCCGCCTCCAGCAGCACCACGCTGTTCTCGAAGGAAATGTGCCGTCTTCCGCTCACCGTCCCCGATCCGTTGGCGTGCCGGAAGTGGTGCGTGGTATCCGCATTCCCGTTCATCAAATTGTTGCCCAGCACCCCACTTCCGCCCCCGGAGTTGCCCTTTGCCCTCTGCAACTTGGCCCACTCCTTTTCCTTCTGCCTGGACAACTTCAGCTGCTGGGCACGTCGCCTGGAAGAGGATAGAGAGAGAGCGGAATATTGGATTAAAGCCGCACAACATCACAGGATGTGAAAGGATTAAGTTAGCTTGGTGATTTAAATAAGCTAGACCATATATTTTAAATAATTTATACTCACAGTCGGGCCAGCTGGAGGCGCTCGTGGGTGGGCAGGCTCTCCACGGTCTGCATCTCGGCCACCAGATCGGCGTGCTCCATCTTGAGCTGCTTGGTGTAGCTGGCATCCTCCTGGCTCTTGCGCTGGATTAGTATACCCTTGATCATGTTGAGACTTTTGTGGATTACACCCCCGCTCACAGATACTGATATGTTTGCAAATGTGCTTTACAATTATTCTGTACAATTTTATAGCATTTGACGGTAATTTGCGGTGCTTTTGTTGTGAGAAATGTTGTTTGTGCTTGTGTTGTTGTAGTTGTTGCAGATGTAGTTGCTGTTATTGTTGTTGTTTTCC